AGTCCTCATATTAATGGTTAAGAACACCTTCATTGCTACAAATAGCATGTTACATCTCTTCAGGCCCATATAATTTGAACTACTGTGTATCTTTTTTTTCTAGGGCTTGTTAATTGCTAGCAGGTCTGGTTTGTGATTTTTGTGTGTCATCATGCCTTTTGGATCATTGCCTCTCCTATATCAAACATAAGCTTTGCACATGTATTTTCAATGCTCATGTAGCCTACCTCACCCCTTGTCTATTTTCATAGAATTATGGAATTATTTAGGTTGGAAAAGACCTTTAAGATCATTGAGTCCAACCATTAACTGAGCACTGCCAAGTCCACCATGAAGCCATGTCCCTATTTTCATTATAAAAAAAAACATTAATGCCAATTTGATTAGACTTTTGTAATTCATCTGCTGCTTTTCCAAACAAACATCCTTGTGGCTGTTGAAAGAAAACCTCTCTAGAAAGGAGGACAGCATGAACGAAAGCACAAAGATAATTAATTTTCTTCACCAAATCTCACTTGTGTCTTCTTCTACGCCATGATGTGTACACAGAAACAAGAGTTAGGCTGATGCTGTGCCTTCCCAGCTGATCAATACAGTCTCACTGTTTCCCTCATCTGTCTGTAGCCATCTGCTGTCTTTTGTCTTATACTTTTGAGCTCTTCAGGGCAGGAATTATCTTTTTGCCCTATATCTCTGTACAGTACATCATCATATTCATAGTCCAGGATTAAGGCTGCTAGATAGTGCGATGATACAAACAAATGATAGCAATGACTACATTTGCTCCAAGTTCTTTGCAGATATTTTTTTGAAATCTAAGATGGAGAGATATGATTCAGAAAAAAAACATCACCAATTTCACTGCTTTTTCAGTGCCTCTGAAAACGGGTTTAGAATAGCAGTGGATGGGAATATTAATGCAAGTCTTTTAATACAGTGCTAGATCAGGCTCAGCAGGTCTGACAGCCTGTCTCCATTGTAACTCCTCCTACAGGCAGTAAAAGGACTCTCACAGGGAATGAATCAGGCCCTAAGGAGCCCATGAGGCTGTGTGCAAGTGGAGCTGTACTATTGCTGGGCGAGACTGGGGGACCAGACAGAGGGCCATATATTGGCGTTTTTATGATCATCTCTAATTTAAATACGCCATCTTTTCCTACATATTTTCATTTTAATATGAATGGCGAGAAAGTTAAAGGGCTGCAACACTATACAGGATCATAATAACAGAAAATCTAAGGTTATTTCTACAGAAATCATATGAGGCAGACCCCTGTGAACCACAAATGCGAAAATGCAAGTATTACAAAAGGTGTATTTATGTGCAGGAGGCTTAAATTCCAGTTATCAGTGAGCTTCCTCATTGCAGTGTCCTCTCTGCGCCTACACACTCCCTTACGAGTCTGTAGGATGGGGCGTGGGGGTGGGGGGTGTTTAATTTTATCTTGCACTGAGCACGGGCAGCGTTAGAATTTGCCCGTCTTTTCCCAGCACAGCTCCAGCAGGGACTACCTGACTCAGCTCACAAACTACAGCCACAGCATCGAATTTCCCAACCCACTTAATTTGAAAGCCTGCCAAGATAGGTGAAAGACCTTATAAATATGTAAAGCAGGAAGTTCAAATTACAGAGTGATGTAAATTCCCAGTGATTGATCCCTTTTAAAAACAATAAAAATCCTCGAGAAAAGACAAGGTTGGTGAACGTGCCCCTCTCCCCGTGCTGTCTGGTGGAGTTTGGACGATGCGTTGTACTTTTCGTGCGGATTTTATTTTGGATTTCTACCACTTCCTGGAGGCCAGGGGGAGGCACAGTGGGAGGAACCAAAAAACTCGGTGCCACAGCCATTTTGTTTGTGGGCAGCATGGTAGAATTCTGTCAGTCAGTATAAGGAGGGGTTTTTAAAACGGTATTTATAGAAAAACTATTCCTGCCGTAGCGGATGTATCTGTTGAATTTAGTGTTAATTTAGTTCTTTCATAAGGTAGGTATTTATATTTGTAAGTAAATAGGGTATTTGTTGGGATTCAAGCCTCCCCACTTTCCAGGAATCGTGGATTTTGTTTCAGGCATGACTGGCTTTTTCAGATTCTGCGAGGTTGCCGAACTACGGCAGGGCCGGGGCGCTCCGACGCCACAGGGAAAGGCCGAGGGATGCGCTGACCGGCAGAAACTTGCTTCGGGGTTGGGAGGGGGACTGGGGCGGGGGAAGGGACGGAAGGAGGGGAGAAGGGACAGAGGGAAAACGGCAAAGTCTCGGAATTGTTTTCTCCGGCTGGCTTTCTGTATGAATTCTCCGGAGGCGGCTGCTCGCAGCGGAGGGAGGGATGAGGCAGGGGGACTGCGTGGAGTGAGCCGTAGTTTTGCAGTGTCACCGAAAACCAGAGCTAGACTTTGGTCCTGTGCGTTTCAAAGGCGGTGTAAAATGGCACACTGCATTTTTCCAGGCGGCGGTAGCGGCAGCGGCTGGGGGGGGGGGGGACGACAGCGCAGGAGGTGGGGAAGGGGGGAGTGGGGCGGGGGCAACGGGGCCGCTGCCCGCCGAGCCCATCGAGCCGCCGCCGGGCCCCGCAAAGTTGTGACCCCGGCGGCCCCGGGCTCCAGTCCCCGGCATCGCTCGCAGAGCCGCGGGGAAGGCGCCTCCTTCCACACCCGGCGATTCGGGCGGGCGAGGGGCGGGGAGAGAAATAGAAAAGGGGAGGGGGGGGGGGGGTGTGGGGTGTGTGTGTGAAGAAAAGTCTCACTTTTCGCATTTGCGAAATATTTTAAGGATGTTCGGGGAGCCCTTTGCAGCATGGAGGTGGTTGGTGGCAGAAGAGCGCGTACGTGGTCCATATTGTTACAGCCGTTTTGCCAGGACTGCCCTCTCCGAAGGTAAGTTTGTGGTTTTAAGCGAAAATATTTGTTTCTGCGGTTTTTTGTTTTTTTTTGGGGGGGGCGGGGGTGGTTTGTTTTTTGTTTTTTTGGTTTGGTTTGTGGGTTTGGTTTTTTTTTTTGGCGTGCTGTGGTGCTGTGGAGGGGGTTTGGTTGTGGGGATGAACAAAACGCAGCCCGGTATTTTTCTTAGCTTTGAGCCCGTGTGTTTCCCACCCAACGGTGTCTCCTTAATACCCACAATAACCGAAGTCAGTTTTGTTTCTTCTTTAAAATTTTATACACGCGAAGCTTAACAAATTTAAGTGCCATTTCAGAGTGTAAGAACTCGGATATTTTCCAGATGGACTTGGGTTTCGGGTTGGTTTTTTTTTTCGGTTCTAGCTTTTTTGTTTGGGGGGGTTTCTCTACCGACTAATAAGCGGATTCGGGACCAAATATGTGACTGTCTTAATATAATGCGCCTCTAATATATAAAGAATCGGTTTATGTTGATGTTGTATGGTCTGGTCGTGGCTAAAAGAGTTTTACAATGCCATTTGTGATGGCTCTTGATGGATTACTTTAGTCTAAAGTACGGGGGGGGAAAACTGCCTGCCCTTGGTATGGTGAAGCTGGAGGTTGACAGAACGGGGTTTATATTAAGTTATGGTTCTTGTTAAACAGTGACCTTCGTATTTACAAATTAGCGCTCTTGTGGCAATTAGCTTAAAGCATTAGTTATATAAAGGTTTTTATTTCGCCTCACTTCATTTAGATGTCTTGGGAGGGGAGTGTTGAGGGGGGGGAGGGAATGAATGGTTCGTTTGTTTGTTCTCTTTCCTGCAGGAAGGCACATTTGGGAGACATTTTGCAATTTTTGGTATTTTTCTTGGCATTTTTTTCCATTTTTTTCAGACGGTGGGAGATCTTTTTTTGTTTTGCGTCGGGCTGCGCTGGTGGCGCTGTGGCGCCCGCGCCGGCCCCTGGCTCTGGAAAGGGGGAGCTGGGGAGGGGGGAAGGTGGGGCACGGTTTGATCTATTGTATCTTTTCCTTTCATCTGGCTCAAAAGTAAGCGCAGATTAGTTGGAAAGACGATAAAATTGTATCTGTGAAATAATTGCACTGTTGCGTGAACTAGGGGCCGGAACAGGCATGACCTCACCCTCTCGCTGGTTTGTGTAATGAAGTGGATTGCTAATTTATCCACCACCACCACCCCCCAGTCCTGTACCTAGAGACCAGTTTTCTTCAGTAACGAGATTTTTCGGCCCCACCCCCAAACTGATTTTTTACAGTGGCTGCAAAATGAAAGGTTTTAAAATGATTTTTGCATACAATATGGAAGGCTTTGGTACTCGTTTCTTGTGCAACTAGTCCATTGTTTGCTATTTGGGAACTTAGGGGTTATGTTCACCCCTGGCTGTTAAACCTTCAGGTCCTTCTTGCTTGTGTGGTTGCATATGCAGATTTCTTGTTGAGGTCTGTAAGAGTTTGGATTGTGTGTGAAGGTGGGGTTGTAAAGAAAAGAAAACCTAATGTAATCCTTTGGATTCTAACAGGATTCACCTGAGGTGGGTGGCCTTTTTCTTTCCTGTTGCTAAGTGGAGCATGCATTTTGCATATATTTATAAATAGATATGTATTAATGTGTGCTATTTTCTTTTGTTACAACCTACAGATCACCTCGGTTCTGAGTGCAATGTTTTAGAAGGCTTTCTGCTAACATCCATATTGGGCGTTTAAGAAAACAGGAGTGATTAATCTTCTAAGAAGATGGGTGGGAAGACATATGCTCTGATCATAGGCTTGCCCATATTAGAAAACTCAACAGGTTCAGGAATACATTTAACATTAACTTTCATATATTTTTAAGGAATCAATGTTCCTATTATCTTTGAGTTATATGAAGCTGACAATTTTGAGACCTTTGCATCTATTTTATATTTCAATGTCATTATTTTCAAAGAACAAATTTGACAAACACTAGACAGTTTGAGACAGTTTGAGACTTCTTATGAGCATTTAAATCTTCAGAAATGCATTTAGGTTTTCTTTTTGAAAGAAACTTGCTCATCAGATTATTTAGTTTTATGTAAACCAATTCACAACTTCAAGTAGATCTCTGCAATGGTAGTGTTTGGGTTTTTTTTCTTAGAAAGGTAAAATTTACTTCTGTATATATCATGTAACCTTCTTCCAGTAAGAAACATTTATATCCAGGAGAGCAGTCATCTTTTATCATCTCTCCTCTGCCAGACAAGATCTGCTTCTATGAAGTCTTGGATGGAGCGGAGTCCTGTTGGCCTAGGACAGTGCAGTATGACCATCACATCTTCAATGTCCTGGTACAGCTCCTAGGTCTTGAGGACAAGTATCAAGATATGGACCCTCTTAGAAAGTGTGGATTTTGGACATTTTCCATCTCCAAGATCTGATCGCTAGGTCACAAGCATTTTTGGTTATGGCAATGGAAGTTGGGTCAATTGCTGCTGAATTTATTACAATGATAATAAGTCTTAGAGAAGCGCTGAATTATTTATATCAAAGTAATTCTGATGCAACTTCCATTTTCTCCTTTACATTGTATAGACCAATGTTAGGTTTGCTCATCCACAGGCAGAAGTACTGAGCAAATGATAAATACTGAAGGTAATTCCATGCTTTTGCTCCTCTTGTCATCCTGGCCTATGAAAGTGATGATTTCTAGTGATGCAGCCTGTGCACACAGGCCATGGATGAACTGATTGCTGGTGATCTTGCTGCTCAGAGTCAGCTTCTACCTCAGTGAAGTCAGCAAGAACATGAATGCTGAACAGAAGCTTGCTTCACACTTGCTCTTCTTTTTCCCATTCAGTTGGGGCTACTTTTTAACATCAGTTAAGGTTTTGCAGCTTTCATGCTGCATTTGATGAAAGTATGTTCTCACTCCTACCCAGAAGTCATAAGGTGAGAGAAGTGCTGATGATTTGCAATTCAGTGGTTTCCACACTTCTTCCCTCCTTCCTTTTTGAGCTATTGTTGAACAAGAAATAGTTCCAGCAGATGTGTTGCTAATAAGGAACAATAATTTCTTAGAGTTAGCACCCTCTCAAAGCTAAATAGCAACTAATTTACCTCCTGCACCTTCTGCAGAAATGCCTGGAAGAGTCATTACTAGGGGTAGCTCTGCCTTGATGGTTTATTTTCTCCACCCTGCTCCTTCTGAAATATCTGTCTTGTGGAATAACAGGACCTAAAACAGAAGAGGTTTTTTTTTTTTATTTTTTTTTATTTTTCCTTTATTGGTTTCTTAATTTTGTCTCCTGTATATCCCTCTCTTTCTAAGATGGCAAAGCTAATCATATTTTTCTCCTAATACGGTTTCCCTTTTACCTAGAAACTATATAGGCTCCATATTGCTTTCAAAGATATTTGTCTCTACTGGCCTAAAACTATTTGAAGTATAACATCCTACTGTAAACCAAATAATCTCTCTCAAGATCTTAACTTATCCTGAGTGACAAAATGTTCTGTGTGCCTTCATGACATTCCTCTTACCAATATTACTAGTGTTATATATTCAAGTAAGAGGCACAGGATAAAGATGTTTTTCTGTCTAAAATTCTCATGGAAGTGCAGATGTGTAGGTCCCAGGCAGATTTAACTGGCTTCCAGAGTGAGACAATACTAAGGTGAAGACAGTTGCCCAGATGTGTGCTAGTGGTATAAAAGAACATCACTGGGGACTCAGTTGAAATAAAAGCTATAACTCTTACTTCATTCATGCATGTGTCACTGTGTTCTCTGTTTTCTTATTGTGATAACATACTTTGGTGGCTGGGACTCCCAGCTATTCTCTTTTGAGGATCCTGAACTATTCATTGTTTCCGTGATTCAGTGCTCAGCAAGATTTCAGAGGGGGGAAGGTATCATTGTGTTCTAAACCTTGTGACATATAGTCTTATTTTCTCACCTTTCTTATTCCATGACTTTGCTGCCTGTAGTACTCCACATCATATATGTCAGTATCAAATTATAGCAATGAATAATTTTTTGAAAACCTGTTTCAAGTATCACTCATTTCCCAGCTGTGAACAAAGGATGCTCTATTTCTTGCTTGCTTCAGACTCGCATCTTCTAGAAAGCTTCGTCCCTCCACACTGCTTCCAGACAGGCACTTGCATGGCTTTCCAGTGTCATGAAATAATCTGCTCCACTCTTATATGCCAGAGGAAACTAGCCATAGCCTAGGGGTCTTCTACCTTTTAACATTCTTCATGTATTTCCTCTTTCATCAAACAGCACAAGAAGTTAATTTATGTTTTAGTAAAGAGGTCCAAATCCTTGAGACAATTCTAGGTTTTTAAAGGCTTTAGTAAATGAGGTGGAGAGAATAGCAGTGCTTTGAAACATAATTTTTCTGGCTTGGTGTTGTGAGAAACAGAATATGCCTTGGACACATACAGCCACATACCAGTGGCTTCAGCTCCCACGGACTTCGTTAGAGTCTTAATGAAGTAATGTTTCTACTATATCGTGTTACCTACCACTGGAATGTCCTTTGGCCTCAGCAGCAAGGCAATACCAATACTACAAATTTCCTTAAGAGGTAGCTTTGCTCATAAATTCCCTACTGATAGTACTAGAGCCTAAAATTGGTGATCAGCATCTGACCCTTAAAGTAGGTGTTGCAGTGCTTAAAAAGTAAGTACATTGGCTAAGAATTATTCTTTCCGCTTACCTCCCTGTATAAACAACAGAAAGATGGGAATTGTCAACCTGTGAGTACTAGTCTTCACTAGTTGTGCAAGGAGTTGAGACGCTGTTATGGAGGTCTCGGATGGTAACTGTATTGTAAGCTTAAAGGCATACAATACCTTTGTATTGTATGCTTAAAGGCATACAATACCATACAATAGAAAACAGTTGTTGTGGATGACAATGTCTGTTGGTTTGAACACCAGTAAAAACGGCACAGGCTCTAAATGCTAGGGTTTCTGCAGTCTCTGGGAATTCAAACCTGGGGCAAATGGGTTCAGATGGTGGGATGCTGACTCCCCACCTTCCATTGTTGAAGACAATCTGGATCACTTGCTAGAGAAAGGGAAAAGGAGGAGTTAGATTTTACAATGGGAACACTGGGATCCTCAGAGGAAGAGGGGAAAAAGATGGGCTGGATCTTGTCCCTGCTCCCAGCGTTGCTTCATGGATTTTACTCAGTAATGTTTAAACATCAGATGTAGGAAGCATCAGAAATCGTGAGCAAAACCAAGGACTTGTTCCTCCCAAAGCAGTCATCTTTTTGTCAGGTTCCATTTTGGTGTTCCTCTGGGACCTGTGCTTACAAATACATGGTTTGATACCTAGGTAACAAGTCTGTAAGGTGATGTTAACTCATGCTTCAATGGATTGTCAACTGTATTTCCAGGTAAATTGGAATCACTGTATCATAAGCACTTAATGTAGAACTTATTTCACCTGACTTTAGATGGGTATGTTAAATCTGTAATCTTAGTCATTAAATGAGTCAAATAGATACAAACCTCCAAATTTTGGATTTCTGCTGCAATACGAACCATATTTGAAACTTTATAGTACCCTGATCAGATCTGCTTCTGCCCAGTATGACCAGCTCAGGTGTGAATGTCCTCACTTACCCAGATAAATCCTAAACCCCAATGTTTGCTTATATTGACTTGTGCATGATTTAGGTAATGAAAAGCTAGCTCTTAACCCTCTCTCCCGTCCAGAGCTTTAAGAAACTTCCTAAATGGAAGGAAGACCTCCCTGGCCTCACAGGTGTGTACATCTTTAATATTCATTAACACAAATAAGAGAGTTTTCCATGTTTTCTTAAACAGGCTAAAAAACCAAGCTACTTGGATCTGGCCTTTAAGCATTACAGGCATCCCTTAGGTCCTGTATCTGTTTACTAGGAAGCTTGGTGCTGTCACAATCTGATGTCTAAAAAGACCATTTCTTTAAAGGGTCCTTTTACCTGACATTTTTTCAACTGTAATGCCAGACATAGACAGCTCATGTTACCTGGATAAATATGTTCAGAGAATTTTTTTCTTAAGAAAACCTAATATTAAAATTTAATTTCATGTTGTAATGCAGAGCAGCTATATTATTTCTGATAGTCTTAAAGGTAAACCACACAAGACAGGATACCTTGATGCCTTTAGATAACGTGATTGTTTATTCACAGTTCAAAAAAGTGTCACAATCAGCATCATTTAAGGAAAAGCCATGCTGTGTAACTAAGGGGGGAAAACCCTAACATCTGATGACTCCACATACACACATATGGCCCATATCCCCTTATAATCATGGAACAAGTTAAGATTCTGTAAGGAAGTATTTTGGTTTCTTTTTTTATTTTCACCTCTGAGTCAATTTCCAAATTAAAATTGGGTATCACAGGAATCTGTGGGACTTGGAAGCTTCAGTCAAGCAGACTTTCAGATGAGCTGCTTTAATGAGAGAACTATATTCCTTCTCATCTTCTATGTTCTCCCCGATTTATTATTTTTTTAATTAGGTCATGTCCTTTTGAGCTAACACCCTTCTTGAGGTCCTTATAAATCTGACCAAGTTCAGCAGACTTTGCACTGTGACCAGCACCTCGCTTTGTGCATAGCCCCTTATGTTGATGACAGTGGTCTGTTGGCTTCCCTTTGACAGATCAACAGAATGTCAAACAACTGTAAAACTAATACATTATTTAATAAGAGAATGAGACTAGAGTATCTGTATTGGAGAGGGGTGATGGCATGAAATCCTTAACTGTTTGTACTCTAAATGATTTGAGAAAACTACTTCTCACTTGGTTGTGTTTCTCAGTTTGCCCTCACAGCAGACTTGGGAAGAAAATGCCAATGATATAGCACCAGCTTGGGTTTTCTGAGCCCACCTACATTAGCAACATGGAGGAAAAAATCTAATATGATTTCGCTGTCTTTATTCTCAAGGCAACTTCATATTTCCATCTAAAACAAAACACTTCCCCTTTCAACATCTGCCCAACTCCCACAAGTTTTTTGCATTCTCTGAATGTTGAAAAACTTCTGAAAATGTGTTTTCTTTGGGGTAAGCCTATCAGAGTTTTCCATTTGTGTGCTTCTGCTATAATTTAAAATATATATATACATATATCAGACCACTCTTATCAGATCAGTTTTGTGTTCAGATCTGGCCTCCTGTGCTGGATATACATATTCAACATTAGTTCATTAGCTTTTTTCACTACTGCAGCACTGTTGAGTTTTCTGAAGTGTCTAGATAGCTGTTCAGTTGTAAATATGAGTATGATTAATTTGTGTCCCAGAAGACAAACAATATGTTTATAACATTCACTCATGTTTAATTTAGAAGTATAAATTAAACTAGAATGTGTAAAGAAATCCACATAGAGGGTTGAAAGAATTTTTGTGTTCTTGCAGATTAATAACATCAGACTTTTGAAATCCAAAAGCTGAGTTGTATTTGTTTTTTACCTTTCTGTGAAGAAATGCATTTACCTTAAGTAAAGATGGCATGGCTTGTATTAGCTAATTAATAACACAATCCTATTAATTTGCCCTGGAATTCATGAGAGTTTCATCATAGTGTGTGTAGATAGTAGTTCCCACTAAGCACCTCCACTCCAATCTAAACAAATGCATTAGGAAATTCCTCTTCATTCCAAGATGCAGGTATACTTCCTGCACCAAAAGATTTCTGATGCCTTCTGTTTCCTATCTAGGTATAAATCATTGTTTTCCTGAAATGTCTGAAGCAAGCAGTTATACTCCTTTCATTCTGATTAATGAACTGCAATTTTAAGTATTTGACATTATATAGTAGATATCAGACTATTAACTCCACATTATGTAATGTAATTCTGAAGTTCTGCAAGTATTTGATCATACATCCAGAAGCTCTGAAGCACACGAAACAGTTTTCATAGATTGACTTGTAAGATAGAAATCCTGTCTTGGAAGTGAGTGTAAGGTATTTAAGTAAATGACTTGATTTAAAAACAAAATTTAAAATGGTAAAGCCTATGTGTTTACCTGGATTGAATTTGCTGTATATTTGTGCATACATACAGCCATGCAATTAAGGTTGTAGTAGTACACTTTAGAAAAGGAATGAATGTAGCTTGTCCTCAAATATACTCTTTCATTCTGGGTTAGTGTTTGAACACTGTGGCAGCCTAAATTATATATTGATCTGGGTGTGTGTTGGTTTGTTTTTAACTTAATGGTCAGTTGAAGGATTCAGGACAGTGTGCATCGCTGTGTCAGACCTAGGTACAAGCTTAATTCATAATTTGTCTACTTCTGCTTTATGTTTTAGTCTTTATCTGTGCAGAATGTGAAAGTTGTCTATACTTAGGTCTGATGAACAAATTAGCAGTTGTGTTGGCAAGAGAAGGTTGGGCTTTTTTATTTAGTTTGGGGGGTTATGGTTGGTAGGTTTGTTGTTTATTTCTTTGGCTTATTTTCTGTTGGCTGTTTTTGCCCAATCCTTTGTATTTCCAGCAAGAAGATAAAATTTTTGCCTTCCTGCTGGCTCTTCTACTGGAAATACATAATCATATGATTAACTTTACTTAAAGGTTCGGCAATTATTCATGTGTTATAAACCAATGGTTGCAGAAGTCCAGGCCTAAGTAAGAGGTGGTTAGCTTGTCTGCACAGCTAAGATTATATTTACTATAATGTTTTAGATTAATTGACATAAAATAATAAAAAATTGTTATTCTAATATTAATTTGTATTTTAGAATACAAAATGTTTTGGATAAAAGTGGGGGTTCTTAGTTTCATTTTGCGTGAGTTTATTTCTTTGGGTTTTGCTTATATTTTTTTCTTTTTAATGAACAAAAAATAACATGCAAAAAAAACCAACAAACAACAAAACCCAAAAAACAAAACAGAGCATAAGGTCAGACATTTATTTATTTATTTTAATTTTGCAAAAAGGCTGTAATTTAAAACTTTGTCTGTTTTACTGTTTAGTCCTAAGAGATTATTTTGTGAAGGAAGTTGCTGGAGAAGATGAGTAAAGCTAGAATTCAGGGTGTGTTTAGCATAATATTTTTGGGGAATACATATTATGGAACGAAAGAGTAAAGGAGAAACTCACAAATCACTTATCACTTAACCCATACAGTTCTTGTGACTCTATCAAAACTTACACAGGAAAAGCTATCTTTCAGTACAGAAGAGTCTTAAGATAATCTTTGACTTGTTTTGTCCACTGTATCTAACAGAGTAACTGCTTCTACTATTATGTGTTTTCCTTATACATGTAAAAACTTAAGTCACCTGAGCAAGTCATATAAATGAACCCGGTTCCTATCTGACTGTTCTAAAGAACTCCCACAACCCATTTGTGCTTTCAGATATATTTTAGGCAAGAGAATGGGAAAACGGGCTCTATCTGCATAAGTGATACTGGGACAAACGTTGAGTCTGTACAATAATAATCTTGAGACATTAATTCCTCTTGCAGTCTTTTTGTTCCTTCTGTAGAAGCAACTGCATCCACTATCTTTAAGAGCTCAGCTATAGTTGCAAACATAGAAATGTGGTAATAGCTTTTGCTGTTCCTCTCTTAGCTTTGTTTCCTCTCAGAAAGGGAATAGCTGGCTAGCAACTTTTCTTCTTCCTTTGGCTATAGCTCAGCGACATAATACTTTTCAAGTTCAGCTTAAGTTCCCCTGAGGATGCTGGACCTCAGGGTAATTTTGAAAAGTAGTTTTGAATTTGTATGGCAGACAACACATTCCCCAAATAATATTACACCATTAAATTGGCATCTAACTCCTTTCACTCATGGAAAAATGTTGCCTGGTTCCCAGGGAAGTGAAGGAATCACTATCCCTCGAAATGTTCAGAAACTGTGTAGATGGGGTTCTTAGTGACATGGTTAATGTCACCAAGTTAGTGGTGTCACTAAATTAATGTCACATGGTTAGTGGTGGTCTTGGCAGTTCTGGGATAAAGATCATCTGGACTTGATGATCTTAAGGACTTGATGATCTTAAGGTCTTTTCCAACCTACTGATTCTGATTTCATCTGTACTTGAAACAGTAGAACTCCACCCATGCACAGTGAAAAGTCATCAGCATGAAAGAAAATAAGAAACTCTCCATTTATAGACTAGTACAGACACTGGTCTTGTAGGAAAAGGTTTTCAAATATAGCATATGTCAGTGTATTACTGTTTTGAGTGCATGTTAAATTGCATATATAGTTTTATCATTTTCAAATCATTTATGCACACAGTTTGTCATTCCAGACTTGTATTCTGTAGCCTTCATAAACTGGATCATGTGAAGGAAGAGGGCAGTGACTGCAAACTGCAGCTAGTGGGGAAATATAACTTTTAATATGGATCTTTTCAAGTGGCTTCTCTTCTAACTTACGTAGTTGGGGGATTTTTTGATAAGTTGTTAAAGTATCTGATCATATTCCCACTTGGTACTCAGTTCAGCTTCATAAGCAAAGGTGCTGATGCAGATGAAGGGGCAGTGCTGCTGCAGAGGAGAATGAATGGCAGAGCAGGACAGCAGTATCTTAAACCACTATTGTTAACAAAGCAACACATTACAAAGTGATAGTCTCACTTGGACAGCCTGCGAAATGACAGAACTATTGTTCATTTCAGCCTATCTTGTTAGTGTTACTTGATGCACAACAATGTTGTCTTGCCATCTCCTTCCTGCATGTAGTTTTAAAATGTAAAACCACCCATTAATTACATAGTAATAACTTATCCAGGTTAAGTATGGCAACAGAGTGTTAAAACTTCAGATTTTGTCACAGGAAAGCCAACTTCTGTTTCTGTTCTGAATGTTGTGGACACAACTAGTTTTGTAATACTGCTTTCCTAGTCATTCCTAGTAAAAACACTGCTCATGACACTAGCAGTCATTGGTTTTATAGTGGAAAAATCACATGTTCATGCTTAATATTTCCAAGCTTCTCATACTACCAGGCTGCTATGTCTCAAACTTTAAAATTTTTGTAGGCAGTTTTGGAATCTAAAGGGTAATGTCTACTTACATTCTGTTGAATGGCAACAGAAATAGGAGATTAAATCTCTATTTGGTATTCTGCAGTGTAAATGGGAAGTGCTTACAAGAAGTAAAAGGTAGCTAAAAACTTTAGCCATGCAATACGTGTACTTACCTGTTAGCTAAAGAAACAAAAATTCAGATATATATGTAGACATAAAGACAAATTGCTTTCCCCTCATTGAGACAAGAATTGAGGAAAAGACTTACTTGGTCACTACTTCAAATTATGATTTTAAAAGAACTTCAAACAAGCTTTGTACCTATTGCATCTCAACCATGAACACAGAAAATAACTGAATATTTCATACCATTCTTTGAGATGCCAAAGCTATGAAACACTAAACTAGGGTGTTGTCCCCCTCAAAAGAAAAGAAAAAAGGGGGGGGGGGGGGGGGGGGGCAAAAGCTGAAGGTATCGCAAAGACATTAGAAACCTATTTTGTAATATGGTGTCTGGTGTTTGATCTCCCAGTATGTTTGACAGTTCCATTATCTCTTTTAAAACAGACAACTGACATCAGCAAATAAGATTAAATTACTTTAATTGATGGTTGAAATCTTCATGCTGTTAAGATGATTTCTATATGCATCTACTTACTACTGTAATGTGACATTTTATGAAATAATGAAGAACCTCTAGTGTCATATTTGCCTACATTTATCTCATTTTAATCCAAATTCCAGGTAGCTCACTGAGATGATTTAAAAGAATACAGCTATCTGTAATGTTATAAAACACAGAAGAGGATAGCTGAGGAGCAAATTTGAACAGAAGCATCACTAGCAAATGTAAAACAGGAATAAACATACACAATCCATAATAGCTTACTACTGATCAAAAGAGCTACATGCATCTTTCCAAATAGAATCATAGAATGGTTTGGGCTGGAAGGTGTCTTTGAGTTCCAACTTGAAGATTAGAGTTCCAACCACTCTGCCACCGGCAGGGACACCTTTCACTAGGCCAGGTTGCTCAAAGCCCCATCCAACCTGGCCTTGAAGACTGACAGGGATGAGGCAGCCACAGCTTCTCTGGGCAACCTGTGCCAGTGTCTCACCATCCTCACAGGAAAGAACTTGCTAATATCTACCCCTCTTCCAGTCTAAAGCCATTAACCCCTACATGCTGTCCCTACATGCCCTTGTAAAAAGGGAAAAAATGCCCCTAAGAGTCCTTGGGAAAAGAAACCCAAGTACGGTAACTTCATATTATGTCATTTCTTAATGCTTGATTATTGAAAGGGGGCAGCAGGTGGGGGGAGAGGAAGACCAGTGATACTTTTTTAGTTCAAAGTAGTCAGCACTTATGGAGATAAAAGGCAAAAAACCTGAGGTCAAGAAAATTGCTATATAAATTAATGATGAGTTAGTGAGCTCTACAATAGTAGAAGCCGGGTGTAAAGTAGTCCCAGAGTGATAAAAAAGAAAAATTTCAAATATTTATGGATATGGAAGTTACTATGTAGTTTAGCATACTCAGCATATTCCTTAGTTTATCCAAATACTGTATTATCTTCTGTAAGAACTATTTTTAAATGGTTGGCAAATGAGAAACATGTTTTAATACGTTCTACTTTTAATTGTTGTCTCCTGCAGTTTTAGGTAGGTACAAGAAAAGTATTAAAGAAAATGAACGTATGTAAGGAGTCAAATACACCTGATTTCTAATCCCAGTTTGACTGTGGATGTCAGTGTATCATTATTTTGGGAGGCAGGGGAAAGAAGGAAGTTAGTTTAAAAAAAAAAACCAAACCACCCCTGCACCTCTTCCAATGAGGCTGAAGAGTGGAATGACATCAGATGTTCACCATTAATACTGTGTATTGCTGTGGATATTTATTTTCTTAAATAAACAGTCTTTCTCTAGAAAGAGAACAACAGAAAACTCATATATGGAATATCAGCCTATATTGTACTTTATTTCAACCAATAAAACCACCATCTCCTAGAATTTTATATCTTTAAAAGGTGCATTATACCAGAAAGTGCCAAAACTGGCAGTTTAACCTATATGCCCTTTATGCATACATATTTTGTGATTAAGATTGCAATTAGAATGGGAGACTATTAAATCCATGTTCAGAAGACTACAATTCTTGCCTAAAGAAACTACCAAAAGTCTGTCTTTAACTCAGGTTTTAAGCCACAAAATTAAATAAATACTAAAATGTGTAAAAACTTGTCAAATGGTACATGGAACTTGCAAACCAAAGCAGCAAGTTAAGTCTTGGGGTTTCACAAAACCTGAGTTAGATATCACAAGAGACCC